AGGGCTTTCAGGTGCGCTCCAACCAGGAATGCGGTCTTTCAAGTCTCTTAAGCCACATGTCTAATGGAAGCACTCTTTAAATAAAATATAGTTAAATTAAAAAAAGGTGACTGTGTGTGGGGAATCTTCCTAAGGCACCCAAGAATTTAAAAAGACCTTTTCCCACTCATTACTTACAGGACAGTCTTGTTCCTCTTCTCTCCAAAGTTAAGAATGTTGGCTAGTTAGGAACCTTAGCATACACGATGACATAGTTGAATATCTTTAAAAAAGCCAGAACAAAAAGAAGACCCTTGCTGAATGTAAAGCACTATGTCCAGACAGCCTAGGTTTCGCTAGCTACGCAACTACGTCACGGACAACACGTAGAAATTGTCACGTTAATGCCGAGGTTTCCGTTGTCAGCAAAAAGGTGTGCTATAGCCGTATCGAAAACTAGGCAGTCGCTGTTGAGAATGGCCGCAGCCACCCCGTCGTGGATGGAGCGGGGCGTTGCCTCCCAGGTCAGCCGGCGGCGGTTGCCGTTCAGCTCCAGTCTGTACGCAAAGTTCTCCGCTTGCTTACGGGTGCCGATGAGCAGCACGATGGCAAAAAACTGCTGGTGACCCTCATACTTCTCTTGTTTCTCCAGCACCAGCATGAAGTGGTGACCGAAGCACGACTGCATCATCACCCAGTCAACCGCCCCCGGGAGGTTAATGTCTGTGGCAAGAAAAACGATGTCTTCTCCCTGAAGGGTGGTAATGCTTTTGTGGGCGTGCATGAGGTGGGACATCACGGCTTCCAGGGATCCCTGCCATTTACAGGAGGCACCAGGGCATGGGCAGGAGTAGGGACGATACTCACAGATGTCTTCGTGTTCTGGCTTTTCTGTGTGATGGAGTGTCAGAGAGCAGCCTGTTGTGGCGTACTGGAAAAAGACCAAATACAAGCTGTCAGGAAAGGCACCAGCACTAGTGTTCGCCGCTTCCACCTGCCAACTGGAAACTCTGGTGATCAACCAGAACTCTTGTTCTCATTGCATATTTTACATTAGATATTTCTATTTAGCCCTGGATTCAGAGCTGAGCTTTACTTATTTTTGTTTCCACTTATGGATTCTTCTTGTCTTTTGTGGTTGTTTTTTTTCCTAATGCAAGCACTTAGATAAAACGGACTGTAAGGCTGAGTTGGAATTAGATTTGCTGTTGTAGTTAGATCTGATCGGTCCAGATCAGCTGCAGTGGTCCTGGTTTGGATTTTTCTTTTCTTTAAAAAGAACAAAGGATTCTAGTTTCAGCAAATAGCTACTATAGAGTGAAGTATTTTAATAGATGTACCTTATTACCATCACAGAGCAAAGCACTCCCATTAAATTCAAATGCAGATTCCCCACAGCTTTTTTTTTTAAACGCTGGAACAGTTTCAGCACTGCAATTGTGAGAAGCGGAAAGAGAGAGCACGATTTTTCACTGAGCACAAAGCTGGCATAGCACGCAGAAAAGTACCATCTGACTTCTCTTAATGTCACTGGGCAACTTCAGAGGGTTAATTTGCCTTAAACAACTAGGGACGCTTTTCCTTTTTCTACAGTCATAGAATCACAGGATGTGTTGGGTTGGAAGGGACCTCAAAGACCATCTGGTTCCACCCCCCTGCCATGGCAGGGACACCTCCCACCAGACCAGGGTGCTCAAGGCTCCATCCAACCCGGCCTTGAGCACTGCCAGGGATGGAGCATCCACACCTTCCTCCGGCAACCTGTGCCATGTTCAGTCAGTTCAGTTGTCCACACTGACCATGTTGCTTTCACGCTGCCTCTGTAGAGAAAGTCTCTCCAGTTCTCCCCAAGAGCCCAGCTCCCCCAGCCCGTGGGTACCTGTAGCGGTACCAACGCCGCTGCTGGCACTGTCACGCAGGTTACAACGTGCATGTGTGGCTGCTGACAGATGCCACGACACTTCCTTGAGGACAGATATAACCAAGGAATAAATTATTATTTCTGGGCTAATATGTGCGCAAGAAGTGTCAGCTCAAAGGCTGAAACGCCCAAGATGCAAATCACTCACTGTGCAACACCGCGCTAGGAACGCTGGGACAGAAATTTGACCTTGTGCTTTTGCAGGAGCTTCTTTTATCAGCCATAAAGAGTTAACACGAGCCTTCGCTCACCGTGTCTGCCCCTGCTGCGTGATCCTCCGCGAACGGCTTTACTACAGGGCGCTGCAGTGGAACAAGGCTTCCTCCTGCCAAAAGCAGGGGCCCCACCACGGCACGCCGGCGCTCTGCCACGCCGCTGCCCTGCCGCACGATGCAGCGACCCAGGTATGTGTGGGGGTACTGGTACGCGTCCAGCCCCGCCGGCCTACTGGCGCTCCCCACGCTCACAGCCCCGTTAACGCTGCAGTCGTGCCAGGTGTTGAAGAGCGGCCCCGAGTCTGACCTCTTTAACACCAGTAAGCACACAGGAGCTGCTGATGGGCCGAAACCAGCCATCTACACAAAAGCGACCGGTGGCGACTACGGAAGCGAGAGCGTAAGAACGAGACGAGCAAATGGTGGTGGCTTTGCCCGTCACCGTGACAAGGAAGGACCTGCGCTCGTGTGCTCCCAAACCCATCGCGGCGGGTTTCGCTTGGTGAGGAGCCCTACCAGTGCCCATGATGGGCAACTGCGAACAGCAAAAACTGACTTGCCATCTTCGTGCTGCTTGGCAAATGTCACTGATTGCTATCAGAGCCCTCAAAAGCTGCCTCGCCTCTCCCTGTGTACGGGTTCTACAACACCTTTGAGCTACTTGGCCTGTGCACCTTTTCCACCTCTGCCATGTCCCCGAGCCAGGGCTGCGCACGGCGTTAACCTTGCAGGCGTGCCACTGACACCTGGGCTGGCGTGAGTCTTTTCAGCTTTTTCATTGCCCTTCTCCTCATTTCTAGTAAGCCGTGCTGGAAGGCATTACGTACTTGTTTTCACAGTCGTTTGTCTAGCGCTGTATTCTCTTTCCTCAGAGGAAACAGTCAGCTCAGAGCTCATCACCATATACACCACTTAACGTGCCGTGTTTTTGCCACGTATGTCACTCTGCGTGCGCTGCTCTGAACTTCACTTTGACAGGACAGCTTTCTGAGCGTCCTAAAGCATTTGGAAAACATCGGTTAAGCTTGAAAGTGCTCAGCAGAGGCAGGCCAGCATTATAAGCCCTGTAAATGAAGGCAGGCAGGGACACAGGATTAAAGTCACTTGTCTGAAGCCACATGGGAAATCAGTGGCAGAGCTGGGAATAGACAGCCAAGGCCAAATCCCTCCTGCTCTTGCCAGCAGGCTCTCCCTCTAGTATACAAGTCATTGGGACACAAATAATGCTTCTGGAAAGAAGAGCCCTGCCTGCTCCTCTAGGTGTGCCAGCAGCGTTCAGGGACCCAGCGAGGACCAAGACCCTCTCGTGCTTCTCCCTCCTCCAGCGCTTTGTAAAACGGCTGTCCCTGCTTTTAAGATCCCTCCAGCCTGCCGAAGCACTCCCTGAAGCTTGGGGGCTGAGCATCTGGCGTACAGCAGCAATCCCAGGGAGCTCCCCCGGGGACGCACGGCGAGGTCCAGCCCAGAAAACAGCGAGTGTCTGTGCCTTCCGGAGCCTCGCACCGGTGAGGAAACCAGCTCTGGCCACAGCCAGCTGCCCGGCAGGGCGTACTGGGAA